TGCTACAGCCTTTACTTGTTTAAATGTGTCTTCTTTATTCCGATTATACACAGTATAAAATTTATTTACTAAATTTTTACTTGCATGAATCATCAAATTTTTAAATAGTTGCACATTTGAATTAACAGGATTAGTAACAAATTTGATGTAATATTCGAATGCTATATTCACTAAATCATCATCAGTAGTATTGTACGTTTTTATCAGAAGATCTAAAACATTTGTACCCATTAGGAAATCTTGAAATTTCAGTGAGAACTTTGAATCGTCGTATTTAGTTGTCAATTGAGGCCTGAAATGTTACTAATTTTTTTAAGTGTATCATATAAATAATATATAGAGAAATGTACCCTTTTGGTAACACCACGGCGTTGTTTTTTACCGCTAAGTTTCCAAGTTTTGCACGTAAATTTGAAGGGCATGGAACTAAATGATATTCCGCTGAATCCTTAACGACTTCATTCTCCATAACATCAGAAATAATTGGTTCCATTATGCAAGTTGCACTATTTTGAGTTTTATTGTTTATTCATAGTTTAAAATAAATATAAAACACATTACAATATACCTTGTTTGTTTAGTCTCATTAGGATAATCTTGTTTCCATAAGAGAACCTTTGCGGGTGAAATTGATTCAGGAGTTTTTGTTGTTTTTGTTTGAAACTTGCTTTCATGTAGTTTAGAATTTCGTTCAGTATTCTCTTTGACAGCTTTATTTTGTAATGCTTAAAAATATAAATTTTTTTAGCTCATCCTTAGTAATATACAAGTGAAAAACATTTTTTATTACTTTGATTTAATTTAGTTTTCTTGTTAAATGGTGCCACCACTGATGTAATTATGTTATGATCAACATTTTCGTTATTTTCACTACTTGTCGTAGAATCTGAAATAAATATTTTTTGATGGCAAAATACTTTACAAAATATAATTAAATTTACCATTTTCTGAAACAGCATTATACATTTTTTTGGGAAGTGATAAAAGTTTTGCCTTTAGATGTGCCGGACATGGTTTAACTCTTAAGCGATATAACTTTCTAATGTTGGGTTGAAAATAAAATGCTTTATAATAGCTTTGAAGCAAGCGATCACGATTCAAAAATTTTTCTTCTGAGGGTTTAAGGATTATTAACGAACAATCTGTGTGTATCATATCTTGATATATTTGATCAATAACCTCATTATACAAGGTATACTTTTTAAATATTTCTAAACTAACAGGAGGATTATGCTTTTGTAGCTCTGCATTCTTGTCATCGAAGTTAGGTAAAATAAAACTAAAAAAATAAATTTTTAATTTAAATAAAATATTTTCATTCTGTTGAAATCGTTATTAAACCTTTTCAATCTTCGTAATACTTGAATTTTTTCGTTTGAAGTTTTTTCATCCATATAACTGTAAGATATTTAAATAATTTGTATAAATTATATTATATTTACATTGAAATGTTAACATCATACCTATGATGTAGATCATTATCTTTGGATGCCTTAATTTCTAACGCTGGAAAATTTCACATTTTTTAGTACTAAGTAATACAATTAATTAATTAATTAAGTCTAACTCACCTAATGAACATTTTTCCATATTTTTATCTTCTTTCCTGCTTCCTAATTTTGTTTTCTTATTTAAATGTTCCTTCGTATTAGATTTTATAACATCTCTATTACTTACTGTAGGCTCTAAAATAAATATTACTTAATAGTAAGGTTTGTGACAAAATATTTTTATTTACCTTCATGATCTGACGTAATTTCTGGATATTTCAAAAGTTTGTCCTTTAAACGTCCTGGACATGGTTTTATTTTCAATGGAAATATTGTCCGAATAACCGTTTGCATGTAAAATGTTTTGTAGTAACTCCGAAGTAATTTATTATTATCAAATAATTCTTCTTTTGATATATTTGAAATTGGCAACTCATACTCCAACTCCTTTATGCTTTGGCAAATGTTATCAATAACATCATTGTGAAAAGTGAACCTTTTAAACGTTTCAAAACTGACTGGAAGGTTGCACTCTTTTTCATTTGTTTCTTTGTTGTTAACATCAAAATTTGATATAATACTATATTTATAAAAAATTCCGTTTTAATAAAATAATTTATTTATTTAAATAACTTAAATACCTCTTTAGTCCCAGGATCTTTTCTTCTAATATCTTTTTATCGGTAATGCTATAATGCAGATACATAAATTTTTTATTGGCTAAATAATCAATCATTTCTCTACTTAATATTTACCTATTTATATTTTTATTTGGAGAACTATCTTGTTTCTTTAAACTTTTTTTTACGCTTTGATGTTCATTATCTTTATTTTCACACAAATGTTTATAATATTCTGGAATTTTAAACAAACGTTGTTTTGTATTTTCATCACAGTCACTAGTGATGCGAACATATTTCATTGGTGCCATACATCGTCGTTGTGGTCTTTTGTAAAAAACGTTATATGTATTTTTTACCCTGCTCATGATTTCTGGTGCCGTGAGATATGTTTCTAAGGCTGTTGAATATTTATCTTTAATATAATCTTTAATTACTTCGATTATGTTTGTATTTTCAATGAACTCGTCGATCGTGACTGGAAAGACTGATCGAGTTTTTAATTCTTCACGGGGTCTGAATCAGAAATAAATAAATTATTTTAGCATTTGTTTATTATTATTAATTCACTTTAACTTACTTTTCTTGCAGACTTATATCCTCCTTTGGTTTTGGACTAGTTTGTGTTTTTTTTGTCTTAATTCGTTTTATATTAGTAATTTTGGTTTGTTTAACATTTTTTCGCTTTCTGGGAGACATTTTTAATTTCACTTTGTATTCAACAATTTAGTTTTGTAATTAAAGTTAAATTCAAATACAATTTTGTAAATGAACTTCGGAATTAGTTCCAAACAAACAGGGTTCATGAAAGAAAAAAAATTTAATAGGTTATTGCTGGTTTTACCAGTTGGTAATAATATCGTAATTTATATAATAATATTGTAAACATATGATGCGAAATATAAAGAACAAATCTAGTTCTTTAATTACAGATTTTCCATACAAAAGTTAACTTTGTTTTGGTCGGGATTAATTTGAAATCTCGTTAGAAATGGTGATTATTTTTCTGTGTTACTCTGTAAATGTCTTTATAATGTAGATTTTTTACGATAATAAAAGATTTGGAAAAGAAATGTCTATTCAAAACAAACATTGAAAATTTGAAAATGGCGAAGTGAGTGAAATTCTTATCAAATTTGTTTAATAATAGTGTTGTATATAATTATAAAACTATTTATAAAACTATATAATTAATTTATATTATAATTTTTTAGTACATAGTTGTTAATCTCGTTTTCTTAATTCTGCAATGTAAACGTAGTATACTATGCTTACATTGTAAAATTAAGAAAACAAGATTAAACGAGTTAATCTGCATTTCTAATATACCCCGTTTACATTATACATTGGAGATTAATTGTGACGGTTTCTCTTGTGTTTTGTTTCATGTGTTTAATAATATTCTATAAATAAAGTATTTTAACACAACTTTGAAGAAAAAATTTTTAATACAAATTAAAAAAAAATTGTTTTATAACAAAAATTTAGCAAATTTTAGTTAAAATTATTTCTAAGATCGTAAAAAAATCTTCGATATTGAGACATTTACAGAGTTGCATAGAGAAATAATCGCCATTTCTAAAGAGATTTAAAATTAATCTTGACAAAAATAAAAATAACTTTTGTACCGAAAATCTGTGATTAAACAACTGGATTAGGACTTTAATCTCGATGTTTGGTTTAATGTACTTTTAATCTCATAATAGGTCTGTTCCACGAGCTACACATAGTAAACCATGAGTAAAACAGAAGTAAAGTACAAACTCAGAGCGTAACACAAATAAAGTGCCAGATTATGCTCTTTACACAAATTTTCATGGAACAGTTTTGTGTAAAGTCTGGTGAAAACAGCTGTTTTTTGAAAAACAAAACAGTAGAAATAGAAATTGAAAAATAACAGAGAAACACATTTTGAAAACCAAATAAACAAAACAACAAGCCAAATATTTTTAAATACTATTTAAAATTAATTTATTTAAAGTTAAATTTTGTTTTAATAAAGTGAGTTAGAGTGCTGTTATATAAATTTATTATAAAAAATTATACAGCTGTCTAAAACGTTGTTTTAATATACCAAATGCATTTTCTATTAGTATTCGACCTGACCCCAATTTTCTATTGAAATTCTTTTGTGGACGAGTAAGACGCCCGTTGTCTTTATATGGCGTAATGATGTGTTGTGTACAGGGGTATGCGGAATCAGCCAGTAGATAGTATTCTGTAAACGTAAGAGGTTTTAATAAATCTCATTTCTTTTTCCAAAGAACTTACCTCCACACTTCGATGGTAGTTGCATATAAATAGGAGAGTTTTGTAAGACCCAACTGTCATGACAGGAGCCTGGATGTCCGATAAATATGCTAATAAATTATCTGTTTTCATCACAGATGGCTTGCAAGCATAATGAAATATTTCCTTTTCTGTCCTTTCCTTTTCCGTAAGTAGTCGTCCTTACGATCTCCAGGAGGATCAATAGTTATAGGAGTGCCATCTAAGCAACCCGCAAAGTAACATGTATTAATATATATGCAGCGTTAATATGCACATAAATCCTTACCTATAACTTTTGAAAAATTGCATAAGCTTTTTTGATGTGCTAGGCCATGCAATTATATCCGGACACATGTTGCTAAAGAAAGTTATCATCCTTCTTATAACTCGGTTTACTGATGATAAAGAGAGATTAAAGCGATCTGATAAATCTCTAAAACAACATGCTTCGTGACTAGCAAACCATAAAAAAACAGCAACGTGAGCTTCTGAAGAAATGTTCAGCTCACTTACTCGCAGTGCAATAAAGTCGGTAATATTTTGAAATTTTATAGCCAAAGAATTAAAAAGACTCCGCGAAATGCGGAAATGAGTTTTGAATTCCTTGTCGTCATATTTGTAAACAACATCTTGTATATAATTTTTTATACACACACGTTTTCTTTTTTTTTTATGTAATATCGAATACACCAATTCTACATCATCGTCAGAGTCACTATCTCGAAGTGTATTAACTACGTTATATTCTGGTTGTGTTGTGTTACTTAAATCACTTAATAAAATATTTATTATGTTTTTATCCATTTCAATATTTATTTATTACAGTTGTTACAATTAAAAATGCAGAATTTTTTAATATTCACACATGCCGCGCAAACAAACAATACAAAAATTTGAATTCAAACCATAAGAGCTGATTTACGCATAAACACAAATTTTACTTCATATAAAATGCATGAGTAAAGTCTGTGTAACATTTTCAAATTTCGACAGGGATGTAACGCTCTCTCAGATGCTCTCATTTACTCACAAATTTGTTCGTGGAACGCACTTGTGTATACACAGTGTTACTCAAAGTTACTATGTGTAGCTCGTGGAACAGACCTAATGTAAACGTAGTATAAGAAAAGTAGTTTACCCAGATCGTGCTGGAATGCTTTCAGATAAAAATAATTATGGGTTTATTTTATTTATATTTCATAGTACGTAGGATATTTATTATATTTATACAATATATCATAAATATATCATATGATATATGTAAGAGAATAAATAGGGCATTTCCACAAATTACTTAAAAAGCTTGTAGTAATGTGGAGAATAATGTGAATAGTAATAGAGATAATTTAGAGATTATATCTGCTTCTATTTAACTGTATAGTTATATAATGGCTAATATAAAACCGATATATATATATATGCTTATTTATAATTTTTCGCAGTGTCAATGTTTACACATTGTTTAGCACTAGCATTTACCCAACATTGTGCAGCAATAATCACCATTCTTTATGTAGAATCTCTTTAAGAATATACTAATGCGCTTAGAGACTTCCAAAGCTTACAGCATATATAAGCTCAATATTTAAAACAAAATATAATATATCCCTAAATATTTTGATATATACTCCCAATAACATAAAAAAATTTAAAATAGTAAATTAATATTAACAATAATAGGTGGCTCTACCAATTACATCACCGTAGCGCACTGTCTCTGCGGAAGTAGTTTGTGTAATAGCCGGTGTAAATCCAATTAATTTTCAAGCAAAGGAACCCCTTAGAGTATACAACAAAAAAATGACCGATTACTATACTCAAGAAATGGCAAGAGATAATTAGGAGCAAACTATCGAAATGTGGCAACAAAGTTGAAACAATAGCACCCAAGGAAGCTAGACTAATACCAAATAGGATCACCTGACACAAATTACTATCTCATTCAGATGCTGACTGGGCACGGGAAAGATGGATTTACTCGACATTTATGGTGACGGGGTCTGTGACGACGTAGAGCACATCTTCTTTAACTGTAATAGGTGGCATACATTTAGAGAAGAGATAATAGCACAGATTGGACCAATAAATCCTGAAAATGTAGTGGAAAAAATGAGAGCGAACCCAGAGAGCTGGGGAACGATAGAGTCATATGTGATTCAAGTTCTCAAAACGAAGAAATTAGACCTAGAAAGAAGAACCAATAACTAGAATAACTAATAGTGCATACACCAAGAAAATGCAGTGAAAAAGTGAAGGTCTGGACGCAGATCAAAAATCATATGCGCATTACTTGAAATGCCAACATAAAAGACTCCCGAGGGGGGAAAAGTCGCGCCGAGGGGGTGTTTTAGACCGTATGTTACATATTAACGTTATGGAATCGGGCACAATTTCGACGACAGTCGGTTTGACGATGCATAAAGCATTCCACCTTCTTACCACAAAAAAAAAATATAGAGATATTAAAAATGTTAAAATAATTATTGTACTCACAAGCTATTTCAAAATAATTTCGTTACTAAAATTTCGCTTTACAATATCTACTTTTAAGAATAAATTTTTAATTTATAAAAACAAATTCAAATAAAAAAATAAATTTTTCTATAAAGCTCTAAATATATAACTCGTAGAACAACGTGAACTTAGTTTAAATTATAATGTATAAAATGATATTATGATAAAAAATAATATGTAATTTTGGAGTTATTGACAAAACATTGAAAGTATTGAAAAAAAAATCAGAGTGGCATTGTTACATATTACATAAAACAATAAAATTAAATTAATTAAAAATATTAAAAATTATATACTAAAAAAACACAAGCATATAAGTAATGCAAAAAAATGATACTACGTCATAATTCGCCAACTAAACGATAAGAATTTTGGGCTTGGTTACAATGTTTTTCTAATATAATTTCGGGTTTTTTCAACAATATAAGTATTCATTCTATATTCACTGATCATCTCTGATAAACTGACGGCATTAAGAAGAACTAACTGCAGCCTAACGGTCTTTAAAAGTTAATGAACAAAAAATGTCGTTGATAAAGCGAGTTTTTTCAATGATGTGGTCCAGTATGAATAAAAAGCAAACAAAACATGAAAAGAAGCTGATGCAAAGACGAAGGTAAAGTTTCAGTAAAAAAAAAGAAGAGAATAAATTGGTATATAGCTATATAAATTTCCAGATTATATTTTAAATATCTAATCTTACAAGAATTTTGAACAAACCCCGAGTTACGATTCGGATCTAATCCAAATATATTATATGTTTTAGGATTCTAAAACAGTTTGATTGTCTGATAGTATAATATAAATATGTTCCAATATTCACATATATCATCCATTTTAAGGGATAAAAAAATCTTAAATTTATAACACATACTTAAGGAAATCATATTTTTTAATAGAAATTATCATATTTCAAATAATACAAATTCTTTAAAAATTGTAGGTACTAGGTATATATGTCACCAATATGATTTAAAACAGCATTTTCATTTCTCACATGCTCTAAAATATGTCACAAATATTGTTATTTTTAGTTTATAAGCTTCATATAAATTTGTTCTAATTTATTATTAATAGCTAGATTGGTTGAACACTGATAGTGTAGAGCAGGTAATATAAACGACCTTTATTGTACTACATGTTTCCGTTTTGGGACAACACCAATGGTTCCTCAAAAATCTTTCACAAATTTTTTATTTGTTTGCACAATAAAGTACTTTCATTCTTTTGAACTAGTTTCGAGATTCTATTTGAAAGGATTCTGAAATGAAAATAAAATAAAGAAACAAATTAATTTTCAATAAAAACTAAATTTTGTGTTATTGCGAAATATAAAATTTATTAACTCAGAATCTTTTCTATTTTCTAAACATTCATAAAATATATCTATAACTATAACTTTTTTCTTCTATACCTTGTTTTAGCTTTTTTAATTTTTCTTGTATAGAGGGTTTGATGGCTTCTAAAAGACAATAGTTTCTAGAATCTGCTGATTGAGTCCTAGCGCTTTCATATGCTTGCATTGAAATACACAGTGCATTTTCGTGTGATTGTGTCTCATAAACTAACCGACAGTAACAGAAAGAGAGCTTTGAGTACATAAAGTAAAATAGTATTCTAGCGCGGAGGTCCTTATTATTAATTGACTCGTAATCGTTGATAAGAAAATGGTACTCTTTAAGATCATGCAATACTTTACGTACATCTTGTAAAATATTTGGTTCAGTATGTGAGAAAATACCATTTAAAACGTCGCCGTATAATTTTGTTCTAAACTCCCGACATATTATAGCTTCTACAATGTTTTGACCTACATCATAGCTACGTAATTTATATTTGGCAATATGTCTTGCAGTTGAGTTCAGGATGAAATGAAATTGACACAATTCAAAGTAATATAAGGTGTGTTGTAATTCAGGCTCATTTACCTTACTCTTATTTTTATTGCTTTGGTTAGTGTTAGAACTTGAAACACTAGGTAGCGCTGTCGCGTTTTTACTACTCATATGTGATGCAATATCTGCATTGCTATTTATAGCCACGTTTTTATTCATTTTATCCGACATCTGGGTTGGAACAAGATTGTAGTGTTGTTGATCAACTGCTCTTAGTAATTGTGTGTCGTTAAAAACTGTAGCATCTACACATAATGCTTCGGACACTGATTTGCTTTGTGATGGATTTGAGGTCCCACTTACTGATGGTTCAATGTTTTCGCTTTCTGTACTTTTTGTAATAATTTGCATTGGCAGAGCGCGAAATTCATGAGTAAGCTGCGGAACAATATCAGTAATTTTATTCGTTTTTAACTTTTTGTTTCTACTACTGAAATAAGTATTTTGTTTCCGCTTTCGTATTATTTCAGTTTCAGTTATTTGGTTTGCATTGTCAGTTGAAGATTTCGGTAAGTCAAAAATATCACTTTCAGAATTTGCCAATAAATTTGAAATAGCTTCGTGAGGTATAATTACCATTTTAAGATTATTATTCTCTCCTGTCATAATTAAAGTTTCATTTAAGTCACTATCAGTTTTAGGCACTTCGCAAATTGCTTCTATTTCATTTTTAATTATTTGGGATGATATACCAGTCTGTTGCGGTGTAATACAATCAGAAGGCTCAGAAGGCTGTAACTCAGATGACGATTCATCAGAATCAATTACTATTAAACTAATCGAAGCGTCCTCGATTATCTGAACACTGTCATCATTTAAGTCTAAACTAAGATCTGGTTCTTCTTTAATATCTTTTATGATTTCTGTAAAATAAATAATACATAATACATATATATTTTTATTTTTAATAATAAAAAATAAAAAAAAAGTTTACCTGTATTATTAATATTTTCAGAAGGTATGCGTTCTGATAACAATTGATCACCACCGGTTTCTACTGAATCAATCGCAGTTTCTTCAAATAAATGACAGTCCCCCTGATCATTTTCATCACTTATAATTATAGAATTATTTGATTCGGATGGTTCTTCTTCAATAGTTTTTAAAATTTTTTGATATAAATAGTACAATATATATAATTATTATTTTTCAACAATAACCAAAAATGTAATACCTGTGTTATTAGGATTTGATGTATTTGCTTTGTATGACATACAGACTGGGTCTTCCTGAGGTTGAGTCTGTGATGAAAGCAAAACATCAACACTACATGCTCCATCGTTATTGGTACTTTGAACTGCAATTTTTAAGGAACGATTTGTGATACTGGAAGACGTTTCAACCAGTTCTGTGTGATTATGACATTCCGAATTTTCATTTAGATCTATATAAAAAAGTACAATATGCAGAATATACAATAGCAGTTAGTAAATAGTATTGCTGATTTATATTTAAACAATATGGAAATAAGCAGTTAAAAAATATATATGAATACGTTGAATACTCGTACTTAAACTAAACTAGTAAAGATATTAACGCCGAACTATGTCATTTTGAAAATACTTATTCTGTCTTGATAAAATTATAGTTTTATGATCAAATCAGTTATTTATTGCAGTAGTAATTTATGGTATATAAAATAAATTGTTTCATCACTATCATGAGGTCTTCCTGATTTTCTGTATGGGTAGCATAAATGTTTTTTGGTCTTTTTTTTGCGAATATATGAGTACTGAAGGTTGCAAATTGGAATGAATATTTTACCGGCCGGTTTGAGTTCAAAAACATTGCTCTAGATTGCAACATAACGTTTAATCCAGGTATGTTGCTTTTACTGCAATTACCGTCCTCATTCCAACTCATCTACGTGTGCTTTTAAGAGAGAATGACTTGTTAATGCACTAAATGTAATTATACTTTGTTAATCATTTTAAAGGAGAGTCTTAGTAAGTTTTTTGTTAGGAGAGCTCCAGTTGATTTTCGTTAATGTACGTACAGGTTGTAATAGTTTACCATCTGTCTTTTGTTTTAGTTGTGAAAGAATGTATAACACTGATTTATAAATATTTGATTGCCATATCAGTGTGGTTGTGCTGTTGTAAGTTTGTGTTACCTTACCCAGTTATTCAAATAGTTTCTTATCTCCTGTTTAAAAAGTTAATGATTTGAATCGGTTTCTAGAAGACGTGCTGTGCATAACCTTTACCCTTTTGATAATACTGGTAAAATGGTAGTTTTTCAAAAACATATGAATAAAGTAAAAGTGAGTTCGATCTGAAAACCTTTAGTGTAAATATCTACTAAAAGCTATATTGATTGCTTTTGTTTAAGCTTAAGTAACAAATATATTTAGACTTTGATTAAAACCAAAAAGAATGTTGTTATAAGATATATTTATTTACATATATTTTACTTACACTTTTCCAGTGATATATATGAGTCCTTTACATTTTTTTTCTCAACAGTCAACTGTTCTGCATCTTCATCAGATAATGCTAATGGTTTAAGTATACATATAATTGAAGTCTTAATAATGCATTGAAAACAATACTTGGAAAAATATACTAGCTTTGAAAAGTAATTTCGTTTTATTTTTAACAAAGGATTTAAAATTTTTTTTATTGGCATTTAATTTCACATTTAAGCCGTATTGAAAGTAAGACAACAGAAAGCTCTGCGGCATAAAATACCGATTCTTAATTCTTAACATCATCAAAAGGTTAATTTACAATTTGTGTTTTTAATTGAATTTAATTTTATTCTCAAGAAAAAGGTCAAATTTTGAAGCTAATACTCATTGTGTATGAAAAAAAGGCTGCATAGAATATCAAACGAACATTATAGGCTTACTATAATTAATTAAATTGGCAACTCACGAAGAGCATTTATATGTAGAATTTAATGTATTAGAGCAAGAAAACATAGAATTATTAAATTCTAAAATTATGCTACTGCTACAAACAGAGCAAAATGGTATTGAACCAAAATAGACAATATATTATTCAATACTTATGCCATATTAAAAATTTAAAAATAATAAATAACGAAATTTTGAATAATCCAGCATTAGTATTAACTTTTAATCACTTGCCTTTAGTAACATTAATTTTCTCTTGGATCGAATTATTAGTTATTTTGGGTATTCGCCATATCCAATCGTCCTCATTCCAGCAACGAGTATAAAAACTTTCACGAGAAATTTGTAGCTGTTCATCACCATCAATGCGCTCTCCATTCATATTAAAATAATCTTCTTTTACAATTTCATTAAAATCAGTATTCACTGCAAGATCATTCCAATGTAAAAACTTTGGTGATATATGTTGTAAATCACTTAAATCAAGCTTTACATCATTTAACAGTAAATAAAGGAAAATATCACTTATGCGCATATATAAATTAAACGGCCATATGTCTTTTTTAATCGTGGATTCATAAATTTTGAATAGTTTTAGTTTATCATTATAAATATTAGACAATTGATAAATATTTGTGAACTTGCAGAAATCTTCGAACGATATATGCATCAATGTGCGCAGAACAGATTGTTTTGGACCAAAAGAAAAACGAAGTACATAGGATAAAGTACATTTCTAAAAAAAGAATTAGTAAAATTATATAAATTTATTCATTATAAGTTCATTTCAATTACCAAAGGAATTGGATCGAACAACTTATTGAATATTTCCATGTTTTCTTCAGGTATGACTGGCGATTGTTCATCCAATGTTATTTCATTTTCAATATTTGGTGGCACAATCGTTTCTATTGATATTATTTCTATTCCCGACTGTCTTTTATGTGGTTGTTTATTTTCCTTTATACGTTTTAAAATTTCTGGATGCTTATTAACATCAGACACTTTTTTTGATATGTACATTAATAAAAATTCATCAGATAATGGCTTATAGCTATCGAAATAGGTGTAATTTGATTCTCTATCACTTTTTAAATGGTTTTTATCACATTTTTTTTCTAAAAACAAAACAGATTATACATCGTTTCCTTTCTTTAACCAACAATCATCATATGTTTTTATTGAGATTCGAACGAACGATCAAAAATTTAATCATGACTCTTAAAATCTTGTAGTTATGATATCATCACTCCTCTCTTATATAAGAGTTGGTTATTGGGAAACAATGATTATTCTGATGAATGGACTTAAAAGTGAAATAGAAATATTTCAAGTATTCGATGGCGTTAATATCAGTGATATAAATACGTTATATCACAACATAGTGAAAACCTTTGATGTAAATAGATTAAAAAGACGAATGGAACCAAGTCTCGTCAACCACAACATTCCGCAAGAAAAAGTAGAGCCTATAGTAGAATGAAATACGAAATCAAAAAAGAATAAGTGACGAGCTTAGGAATTCAATATGTTACTGTTCTAAGCGTGATAGTAGTAGAATTATAGTTGAAAAAGGAATCAGCGTATATCATTCAGGTGTATTTTAATTGTAACAATCGGAAACCGAAGATCTATGCAATGGTGTGTTTGAGATTGGTAATGAGAATATCATAATTACGGGAGATGCCATGTTAGAATAAGATAAGAACAGTGTCTTGAATTTAATCAACTGACAAAGTAGTAAATTGTCTATATATCCTAAAGTCAAAAATTAGATTTTATATCAGAATGGGTGAAAACCACTTCGGTTTTGCAATATAGTTGACCTAAATGCATAGAATTGTTTATTCATTGTTGAGCAGAGAAGGCAGTCATACCTTTCCCAGAAGACTTAGTGAAGCTTCAATTTACCACACTTTGGTAGTAGAGAATATGCTATACACTGTTCATTGGGCAGTGGTCACTTATTGGTGTACGTTGTGCAACTCTGCTAGAAAAAAATGTTACGCAAACGTATATAATGTAAATTCAAACCTACAAATTAGTGGATAAATTATAAAGGCCTTAGTTCCCCCAAAAGATTGGAAATCCTAATGCAAAGAATTAACAACGCAGCTAAATCTTTACAACATAAAAATATAAAAAATTTGCTTTAGCTGAGTTTAATACTTACTTTCCTTCACTGTTGTTGATTTTGCAGGTATTTCTAAAAATTTTGCCTTCAAACTTTGCGGCATTTCTTTCAAACGTAAAGTGTATTTTTTACGTATCGATGGTTTAAAAAAGAAATTCGTGTAATACAATCGCAGCGCTTTCTTCCAAACCAATTTATTTCTCCGTAATTTTGCAAAAAGTTCTTCATCGCCTTTGGCTTTTTCTTTCAAAATTTGAAGTAGCACTTCTTTATAATATGTGTACTTTTTGAATTCAGCTATTGAGACAGGAAACATATTATTCTTATTAATGGACTTACTCGCTTTCGGTCCTTGCCTGCAAATATTTATAAAAAGAATAGAAAAGGCTTGTTACGTTTGAACAAATAAATCAAAAACACAAAAATTTGTATTTAAAAATTTTTGTTACTTTTTCTACTTTCATTTTGAAAAAATAAGTTTGATTTTATTTACCTGCATTTTTTTTG